ATGTCTTGCTTCCAAAATCCCATGTTCTGCTTATTTGATCATTTCTAGAACTTTCTTCTGGATCACCTGCCAGACATCATCCTTGTATGCAGTTGTAATTCCTTGCGTTGCCTTACAACAAGCACTATAAACTGTTAGTTCACCACATTGACTGTGAACTCTCGGTGCCTGTAAGGGTAGCCCACGAAACCCTCAGCTGGGGGGTATCCGCCCTGGGAGTCTGTTCTTTGCCTTTGACGGCCCTGGTTGACTTTTCCATCTCTGGTGATGCAAGTCCTGCTCCTGTACCTCACACTCATCAGTTGATTTGTGATCGTTGGTACAAGAATAAGTCTTCTGTGACCTAGGGCAGACCGTGCATACCTACAGGTCACCATTGCCAACACAACACTCCACATAGTAATTCATCAAGACAATAATCCCATCACCAAATGGCGCCGCCTGGGTTTCCTTTTTATCAAGAGGGAGCAAAAATTTAAAAATGTAAAAAATAAGTCAGCAGTGCAGCATAGAGTGTTTTCAAGTAGATAGAGGGTTTTTTATTTCTGTGTCAGCAGAGCGCTTCCCCCCGACTCCCCATTGATTTTATCCACAGACACAAGGGTGCTTAAGGTGTCTCCAGCAGGAGTGGTTCAAAGCTTCATTTTCTTAGAACAGGTAAAGCAGACAGCTGTGCGGCTAGTTCTCTAAAGAAATTGCCTTGCTGAGGGTGTGGACATTTGGCCCAACAGTGAAGATGGGGACCAGACTACTGGTCTACTTGGGACGTCCACATCACATATTGGAGAGCCTGGGTTCCAGTCTCCACTCTGCTTCTAAATCTGTTTCCTGCTAATGTGCGCCCAGGAAGGTGGCAGGTGATGGTGCAAGTGCTTGGACCTCTGCACCCACATGGGAGACCCGGATGCAGTTCTTCCTGGCTCCTGGCTTCAGCCTAGCCCAGCTCTGGCTGCTGTGGACAGTTGGCAAGTGAACCAGCAAATGGAAGTGGTCTCTCTCTCTCTCTCTCTCTCTCTCTCTGCTTTTAAAATAAATTTTAAAACTTAAAAAAAAATAAAAAAGGAAGTGCCCCTCTAAGAAACAGTGTTCCAGGGCTTGTGCAGGGAGAGTTAGGGGAGTGTCCAGGAGGATGTGGAGCGGAGGATGCTGTCGGCCCAGGCACACCCATCTGCATACAACGGGTGTCTGAAACTCAGATTCACTTCTTGCAGTGGTCACTGGTTGACCAGTAGTCTGATTCCCTCCAAGTGCAATACAATATCTCAAGATCAGAAAACAGTTTCTGAAAAAGAAGCTAAGGAGCCACTTGTGTGTCAGATCCTTTGCCCCTGCGCCTGCTCACCCCTTCCTGCCTAACTCCCACACTCTTTGTTACAGTTTCTTATTTTGTAGTCAATTTGCTCCAAATGTAAATGATTGTAAGCCTTGCAATGCCTGTGACAGAGGCTTGAGGCAGCCAACGCCAAGTGCCTGGGCCAGATGGGCTGGAGACGGAGCAGGTACTCCTCCTTCTCTGCCCCTTCCGCTGTCTCCCTCCGGAAGAACATACACAGAGGGCACCTCGCTTCCGCATCAAGATCTTGTTCGCCCGGTGGAAGAAGTCCCTACGGAGCTTCACGGGTGCCTGTGAAAGGTGGACCGGGACTGGCTGCAGTGATTCTGTGCATGACCGAGGAGGAGGAAGGGGTGGGGCGAAGCCAGGTGCGACTTTCACTTAGGTCAAGTGTGCAGCCTCTGCCGGGGCTGCCTAGAGAGGAAGTCAAAGGCTCTTGGACCCAAAAATGTTCCTTCCGCCCTCCAATTCCTCGCTGCGCATCTTACTCCTGTGATACACTGAAAGCCGCTGGCAACTTGCAAAAGCAGTGGCAACCGCTACCTAACTCCAATGTTTAGCTCTGAATCAAGGGTTAGGAAGTATGACGTCAGGAGCAAGGCGGGGGAGAGGCGCCCCCTAGGAGACTCCCCGGGGTGCCCACAGAGGCGGCAATGTGGGAACCTGAGCCCCTCGGGGACACGGCTGGAAGGACACCCAAGACAAGACTCACCCGTTTCCCTGTGTTGCATCTGCCACCCCCGGCCAAAATGGGAACCTCAGGTCGCGTGGTGTTTCCTCGGGGAGACTCCGAGCCATGAGTGGATCTGGTCAGGTGCCCCCTGCTCCCTTGCGGAGTCACACACTCAGCGAGCAGATGGGCAGATCAATGTCTGGCTTCCCTGCTCGTCTGTGACTTCAGGAAGACAGTTTGGGTGGCCTCATCAGATGTTGCTCCCTGCTTCGCCCTCCACATCCGAGGGAAGCCCTTCCGCACTGGGACGCAATGACTGCATCCACAAATAAGCACAGAACACACAAGAAGGCAGGCAAAGGGGTTGTCAGATGACAGGGCGGAGGCAAGAGTGACCTGGAGACCTGGAAGGGCAGAAGGGACGGCTGATGCTGCCGCGGAATCATTGCATTTCAGAGCTAAAAACACCTTGGAGACGGAGGGCACAGCTCAATACAGACCTGGTTACTTCCAATGCCAGTTCCTTTCCACTGCTGCAAACCTCAGTCTTGGAAAGCATCATTCTCGTATTGAGCCCCGTGTTGTCCCTATTTGCTTGTGCATGACTGACCGAGTTCTGCGGTCTAGAGTTCATGATTTAGTTGTGAACTAAAATCAGATACAATGTACCTAAGGCTGCCTGCCAGGCCCTAGACTAAGAGTCCTGTGTATGTTTATCAGCTAGAACGTCCTAATTCTATTATTAGCTACATTTTGCAGATGAGAAGACAGGCTTACTGATGTTAAGTGCCAAATGCAAGGTCACGCAGTGACACAAGAGGGAGAGCCAGAATCCAAACCCAAGCCTGTTTAATTACAGATCTGAGCTCTTATCTTCCACGCCCCAGCATGTAAGAGTCATTGCTATGCATCGCACCCCTTCCGGTCTCAGTCACTGGGCTACCTGCCTTGTGAGAATTCTAACTCTGCCTCTGCTCGGTTGTTCGTGTGCTAGGATAACAGCAACCACACGCCAGGCCCTGTACTAGGTTTCTGAACTGATTATTTCACAACGGCCTATGGAACACGTAGATATTATTATTATCCTCAGAGATGAGTCTCAGAGATGTGGAGTAAGTGACCCCAAATGAAACATCTGGTAGAGTATGGGGCCAGCGCTGAAAACGGACCCTTTCCTATACCACAGGAAAGTTTCTGAAAACAATGACGTTGTCTTTCAAGTTACCATCCTAAGTTGGCCAATAACCAAAACCCTCTAGCAAACAAATTCTTTTAAAACTATAAACTTATTACAAGAAATTTGATTATTGAAGAGAACAATAAAATAAACTTTTGCCAACTATGATAAAAATATTTCTGAAATTTAAGCATGAGAAAGAAAGCAGAGCTAAGGATACACTAATATTTTTCTTAATTATGAAAGAATGCCATATATAATTTTATAATAATAAGCTGTAAGCGGAACGGATGATTTTCTCAAAGATTTACTTAAAAGAAAATCTGATTAGAACAATAGTCAACAAAAATGGAAAAGATAGTGAAAGACATGATCCCTAGATGGTCTCTAACTTTTCTGCTTCCAGAAATGGGAGGTTGTTCCAGTCTGTCCTGTCCCTGAGAATGATGGGAAGAACTGAAATAAATGAAGAAGTGTTGAAAGGCACCAGTGCTATTGGGGCAGCACACATGTGTAGGCTCCAGATCCTGGAGGAGAAGTCGGACTGAGGACTCCAGCACTGGCTATGGTTCTTCCCTAGGAGACACCTGCTCAGCAAGCAACTGTACCTGAGAAACCGGTTACAGCTGTGCTGGCGTCCCAGACGGCAGAGGCTTCGCCCTCTGGCAGCCCCATCAGCGGGTATTTTGAAGAACGTATTAGACACAGCTGAAGGGGCAATTAGTGAGTTGGAAAATAGGCCCAAAAATTCCAGACTGAAGCAGAGTAATAAAGGGATGGACAATAGATAAAAGACACACACGATTAGTGATATGGATGAGAAAAGTTATTATACATTTAATTGGAATGCCAGGAAAGAAAAAGAACAGAGGCAAGAGTGGTATTTGACTGAGGGTTTTCCTGTGAAATAAAACAAGCCACAGATTAAAAAAAAAATGAAAAAAACCTGTGAACTTAAAGCAGACTAAACAAAGAAAAGAAAAAGCAATCCCATGCCTTTTATTTTTTGTATTTTTTTTTTGAGATTTATTTATTCATTTGAAAGGCAGAGTTACAGAGAGGCAGAGGCAGAGAGAGAGAGAGGTCTTCCATCTGCTAGTTCACTCCCCAGATGGCCGCAATGGCTGGAGCCAGGAGCCAGGAGCCAGGAGCTTCCTCTGGGTCTCCCACATGGATGCAGGGGCCCAAGGACTCGGGCCATCCTCTACTGCTTCCCCAGGCCATAGCAGAGAGCTGAATCGGAAGAGGAGCAACTGGGACTCGAACTAGCACCCATATGGGATGCCGGCGCTTCAGGACAGGACTTTAACCCTCTACGCCACAACACTGGCCCCTATGTGTGATTTTTTATTTATTTATTTTTTTGTACCAACCAAAATTAACTCATACTAATTTGTTATACCATGTGTGGACAAGATCTAGTTTAAGGCGGTACTAAGGGTAAGACATCAATTGGAAAAAACCTTATCAGACCAAAATGAATTAAAACAAGAACAAGCATCAAATATAGGGTGAAGCTTCCACGGATGCTTTCCAAAGGCTGATAGAGACAACACCGAAATCAGCGGTTTACAGTTAACCCATTTTAGGAAGGGGCGGACAGTGTGGAAGACGGAGGCTGCAGCCACAGATCACCCGTGTAAACGTGCGAGGAACAAAGCGATCTCATTCATGCCCTGAGTGAAGAGGACTTTACGACTTCCAGCGGAAACAGAAGCCAATACGGTGGGTACCTCACTGATCTCAGCTCACACGATTCTGATTGGAATGTAAAGGGCTCCCACTTGTCTTCAGTTCATAGTGTGAAAAAGCTCTACCTGCGTGGTTATAGTACAGGACCCTCGGTTCCCTAGGGAAGGACTTGGTGCTGGTGTCATCACTTATAAAATGGCCTTGAACTTGATGGACCTCCTGTTCTGGAATAAAGGTGACAGTTACCATTTTTGTCTTTGAATGCCATTTTCCATGAACCTTTTGAAACCCTTTCATATATACCTTAAACATTTAACTGTAACTTACAACATATATGTGCACATTTGCTCACCAACCTGGATGTAAGGTCAAGATCTTTTCTTAGCATAAAAATCTTCTGATTGAATTCTCCATAACCTCTCCCAAAAATCATACACATCAGGCTGGCACTTTGTTGTAGTGGGTAGAGCTGCTGCCTGCAGGGCCAGCATCCCACATGGGCGCCAGTCCAAGCTCTCTGCTATGGCCTGGGAAAGCAGTAAAGATGGCCCAAGTCCTTGGGCCCCTGCACCTACGTAGGAGAACCGGAAGAAGCTCCTGGCTTTGGATGGGGGCTGCTCCGGCCCTTGCAGCCATTTGGGAGCGAACCAGTGGAAAAGCTGCTACAAAGGGCAGGAGGAAGTGACTCTTTTTTTTTTTTTGACAGGCAGAGTGGACAGTGAGAGAGAGATACAGAGAGAAAGGTCTTCCTTTGCCGTTGGTTCACCCTCCAATGGCCGCCACAGCTGGCGCGCTGCGGCTGGCGCACCGCGCTGATCCGAAGCGCAGGAGCCAGGTGCTTCTCCTGGTCTCCCATGGGGTGCAGGGCCCAAGCACTTGGGCCATCCTCCACTGCACTCCCTGGCCACATCAGAGAGCTGGCCTGGAAGAGGGGCAACCGGGACAGAATCCGGCGCCCCGACCGGGACTAGAACCTGGTGTGCCGGCGCCGCAGGGCGGAGGACTAGCCTAGTGAGCCGCGGAGCTGGCCTGACTCTTCTATTCTAATGTGTAACTTGTCCCCAGCGCTGGGTGTGAACTTCTTAGGAAGAAGCTTGGATTTGCTGACGGAAGGTGGGAGGAGGTGAGGAGGAACAGCCATGTCTTGGGCATTTCATGGTCCCAGCAGAAGATGGAATTCCTTCCATTTGTCTCATTACTGGTGATGTTCATTTTTAAAGAATTATTAGAAATTTACATATTTGAGTGGAGGATGGGGAGGGGGGAGAGAGAGCAAGAGCGAGCTGGCCTCCACTGGTTCACTCCCCAAATGTCCACAATAGCTGTGGCTGAAGCCAGAAGTCAGGAACTCAATCCAAGTCTCACACTTGGGTGGCAGAGACCCAATTACTTGAGCCATCACTGTTGTCTCCCAGGGTTTTCAGTGGCAGGAAGCTGGAGGCAGGAGCTGGGAATCAAACCCAGGCTAAACACCTGCTCCTCAGGTGATGTTAATTTTGATTGCTTAAGATGATATCTGCCAGGTTTCTCCACTGTAAATAGTGATTTTTCTTGTTATAATTAGTAAGTGCCACTTTGACATTATATAAAATTCTAATACTCCTCCAAGTTTTTTCAAACATTGATATTTATTTTTTATTTATTTGAGAGGCAGAGTTACAGACAGAGAGAGGGAGAGACAGAGAGAAAGGTCTCCCATCTGCTGGTTCACTCCCCAATGGCAGCAACAGCCAGAGCTGGGCCAATCCAAAACCAGGAGCCAGGTCTCCCTCGTGGGTGCAGGGGCCCAAGCAGTTGGGCCATCTTCCACTGCCTTCCCAGGCCATAAGCAGAGGGCTGGATTGGAAGGGGAGCAGCCAGGACACAAAACGGTGCCCATATGGGATGCCAGCATGTCAGGCAGAGGCTTAGTCCATTAAGACACAGTACCAGCCACAATCCATTGATATTTCTTGCCTTAACAAAGCGTTATTATGATGGTTTTCAAATGGTGACTTTCTAATTCTGTTTCTTCTGTGTGTATCAGCTGGTTTTCCGCAAAAAAGAGTTTTTGCTTCTTTTTATTATTTCATTTATTACTTATTTAAATCAACATGGACTCATGAATTCTGTTTTATTAATGAATTAAGTTCTTTTGCTATTATCTTTATTTTGTTGTTCAGACTATCTGAAGTTCTCTAAGATGTTCCTTAATAAGATATAAGAACAGAAGGCTGAACATTACGTTTGCAACCATGTTAGATATTTTTGAGATTGATGCTGAAATCGTAAGCCTAATATTGAATCACTGCCTAAAACTCACCACAGAAAGCAATGTCATGGTTCAGTGTTCAATCCTTGAAAAAAAAGGCCACCTGAACTATGCGGCGCCGGCACACCGGGTTCTAGTCGCAGTCGGGGAGCCGGATTCTGTCCCAGTTGCTCCTCTTCTAGTCCAGCTCTCTGCTGTGGCCCGGGAGTGCAGTGGAGGATGGCCCAGGTCCTTGGGCCCTGCACCCGCAGGGAGACCAGGAGAAGCACCTGGCTCCTGGCTTCCAATCGGCACAGTGCTGGCCGCAGCGGCCATTGGAAGGTGAACCAACGGAAAAAGGAAGAACTGTCTCTCTCTCTCTCTCTCTCTCTCACTGTCCACTCTGCCTGTCAAAGAAAAAAAAAAAGGAAAGGATTAAATGCTTTTCACCTACGTGTTTACGTGGAATAGAAAGAAAACAGCTCTTTGAAGAGGGGGACCCTTGAGAACAGGTAAGCCGGTGAACTGTAGAAACCTGTTGTTACAGGTGACGCGGCAGCCAGGGAAGGCGACCTTGGTTCTTGTCTCCTGTGGAAGAAGACTTTCCAGGCAGACAAGGCAGAGAGGAAAGCAAGATTTACTTAAGTCAGAATCTTCCCGCTGCAGCAGCCGGGAGGGGCTCCAGGAGAGGCAGACCCGAGCAACTGGTGGGAGTGGAGTCTTTTAAGCACGATTTCCGGGGCAAAACACAGAACAACAGCTAACAATCAATCAGGGAGTGGGGACAAAACCCATCAAAAGGCCAGATCTGTAGTCCTGTCTACCCTGTCCAGCTTGCTCAGGATAAAACATTCTTGCAATAAACCTGGAAGCTCAGGGGTTTCGCTAAAGACAGCTTTTGGGGAGAAGCAAGTATTTCGCATCGTCTTAAAGAATTTCCCCCTTCCCTCCTTCCCACCCGACCAGCTTGACTGCCGTTTAGTCCAACTCCTCACACTGTCCGGTAAGATGGGAGGGTTTCCCCTCTACCTGACGCAGGCCTCAGCTGAAGCTTATTTAACCTTTCCCACAAGCAGCCACGCAGCGCTCCCACTCCCAGGTTCATCCTGACTATATTCAGGTGGCTTTGTTTCCCACCTTCCTCATTCCACCCCCGCTTCCTCCCCCAGCCGGCAGGAAGTGGAGCCTCACTACTCAGCATTATCTAGCACCATGATGCTGAATGAATTATTTGGAAATAGGTCCTTTGAGCATGTAGAAAGGCTTTCCAACTTCTGGGGCTATTTCCTGTTGGGAGAAAAAAAAAAAAAAGACCTCCCTGGGTAGGAGAACCCCAATAGATTATCTACACAGCTGCAGATTGTGGATGGAGCTTGGGAGGTAACTCACTCCCCACTCGCCCCAGCCCTAGCCCTTTCATAAATCCACACATATATAGGGGTGGGGGTACTGCCAAAAGTTCATGGGAAAATGGGAAAATGGAATTACAAGGTAAGTGTAGGGACTGGTGCTTGGTAGAGTAGTTCAGGTGGCCTTGGGATACCTGCATCTTCCCTTGGATTACCTGGGGTTGGATCCCTGGCTCCACTCCGGCTCCCTCCTAAGGACTACCCTGGGGAGCAGCAGGTGATGGACCAAGTAGTCGGGTCCCTGCCACAGTGTAGAAGACCCAGATTGAGTTCCCAACTCCTGGCTCCAGCCTGGCCCAACCCTGGCTGTTTAGAGAAAGAACAAGCAGATGGAAGATCTCTCTCTCTCTCTCTGCCTGCTAATAAGTTAATTAATTTTTGAAAAAGCATTGAGTTCATTTTGGCATTTTTTTCATAATCCTCATTTTTCATGAGCTTTTTGAAGACCCCTCATATTGATTCAGGCAGATAAGTAACTTTTCATTAAAAAGGATTTAGTATTAATTTGAGAGACACATAGAGAGCGATACACAGAGAGCATGAGAGAACTCCCATCTGCTAGTTTCTCCTCCAAGCAGCCACAAGCAGGGCTAGGCCCAGACTAAAGCCAGAAGCTGGAGACTGAACCAGGTCTCCCACCCAGGTGGCAAGAGCTGTCCCTGCTGCCTCCCAGGGTCTCCTCTGGCAGGAAGCTGAGTCAGGTCTGCACGCAGGCCATCCGCTGTGGGACGTGGGCCTCTTGACCAACAGGCTAAACACCCACTCCTTAAGTTACCTTTCTCTTCTGCTTTCTGGGATCCCCTGGGGAAATGACAGGCCGCCTGAAAAAGCATTTGGAAAAATCTAATACCTTTGCCCAACCTTAGCCATTGCCATCGGCAGAGGGCGACTGGTGGCAGGGGCCTGGGGTAATGGGCCCTTTCTGCACTCTCTGGAGAGACCAAAGAGCCGGGGCGCAGGGCAGGGAGCAGCCTCATTCCCACTTGGTCACCCTTGGAAACTCAGCGTGACGACCTGGCCTGGCAGGAATCTGCCCAGCATCGGCGAGGGGGCCATGGAAGCCTGCACTTTAGTGGTGGCATTCGGCTGTTCCTCTGAAATGCTAATGAGGAGTTTATTTCAGAACTGCTCGCACTGTTCTCAGACTTGTTCATGTATCACTCCCCCTGAAGGCCAGGGACAACAGCACGGAACAAATGGCTTGAAGTGCCCCAAAGGAACCCTGGGCTGCCTTGAAAAGCTCCCAGAGAAAGGCGCGCTCCCTCCTCCCGGGCTCTGGCGGCCAGCACCTGGTTGGTTGCGTGTAACCCACACCTCTCCAGCTGGCTTCAACCTGCCTTCCAGCTCCTGGCCCTTCTCAAAAGAAATGTGCACGTGCTCTCACGTTTTTCCTCTCCTGGGATTGAGGAGGTACAGGAGAGAGGGGAGGTGGGAGGGCTGAAGACACGGAAATGCACAGGCAGTTGGATCATTTCATCCCCTACCCAAGGGCCTCTAAGGCAGGAGCAAGGTGTCACCCGGACCCAGCTCCCACTTTAGCTCAAGGCATCCTTGCTCTTCCAGCAGGGTTGTTAACTGACCATGTCTCCAGCAGAATTCCCTGAGGGGTCTCATTGCGGTGCAGTGGGCTGAGCCAGGGGCTTCCTCTGCCTTCCATACAGGGTCCTGCGGATGTGCCTGGGGAGGCGGTGGATGATGTCCCAAGTTCTTGGACCCCTGCTGCCACCTGTGTGGGAGACCTGGATGGAGTTCCTGGCTCCTGGATTCAGCCTGTCCCAGCCTGGCTGTTGTGGCAAGTTAGGGAGTGACCAGTGGATGGATCTCTCCCCAACCCCCGCCAGTACTCTGCCGTTCCAATAAATAAATATTTAAAAAAAATAAGAAAAATAAAATAAAAATGAGAATTCCCTGAATTGAGGGAGTGGTGTGACTGGCCCAGGAAAATTCTCCAGTACTTAATATCTTCCATCTCTTTGCTCCAGGAAATGACCTTCCCCAGAGCTTCCATGCTGCTACCAAAGCCCATCGACAGTCCTTGTTTTATTAAACCTCCCAGGAGCGCTGGACGGCTTTCCTTCCCCGGTATAGTCTCCCGTTCCTCTCTCCAGAGGTTAAATATTGGACCTTATTCAAAAATTCCTTCTTGTCTTAGGAGAGCCAATCCCTACACTAAGGTGTTTTTATCTCCTCTTGCCACACCTCTGTATTTAGATCCCAATGGTCTCTCCCACTTATGTGTTGAAAGTGCTTTGAACTTGGAATTTCCAAGTCCTGAGGACTTTTTTCCTACTAAAACATGACTCTTTTCCAACGTTCCCTATTGCAGTGGAAAGAAATTATCATGCACTCTATAAGCCAGAAATCTAGATGTCATCTGTGTGTGTGTGTGTCAGATTTATTTATTTGAACAGCGACAGAAAAAGAGAGAGAGAAGCTGGCGCCACGGCTCACTAGGCTAATCCTCCGCCTGCGGCGCTGGCACACTGGGTTCTAGTCCCGGTTGGGGCGCCAGATTCTGTCCCGGTTGCTCCTCTTCCAGTCTAGCTCTCTGCTGTGGCCCGGGAAGGCAGTGTAGGATGGCCCAAGTGCTTGGACCCTGCACCCGCATGGGAGACCAGGAGGAAGCACCTGGCTCCTGGCTTTGGAGCAGCACAGCGCGCCAGCCATGGCGGCCATTTGGGGGGTGAACTAACGGAAGGAAGACCTTTCTCTCTGTCTCTCTCTCTCACTGTCCACTCTGCCTGTCAAAAAAAAAAAAAAAAAAAAGAGAGAGAGAGACAGAGACAGAGAAAAAGATCTTCCATCTATTGGATCAGTCCCTCCAATGATCGCAACAGTTGAGACCGGGCCAGACCAAAGTCAGGAGCATGGAACTCCATCTGGATCTCCCACATAGGTGGCAGGGACCCAAGCACTTACACTGCTTTCCCAGGCGCATTAGCAGGGGACTGGATTGGAAGTGAAGCGCCCGGCACTTGAACCATTGCCCACAGGGAAGCTGGCATTGCAGGTGGCTGCTTAACCTGCTGCACCACAACGCCAGCCCCTAGCTGTCATCTTTGATCAGCCATCCCTCTCCATGTCTAAAGCATCACTCAGTTCTAGGTGTCCTCTTCCTTCTGTCGTCACTTACCACCCTGGCGCAACAGCCCTGTGATTCTTCTAATGCAGCAGCTTCTGTAACACCCACCTCCCTTCAGGTCTCCGAGTATGTCATGTTCTTGCCCTCCCCAGGGCCTTTGCACAGGTTTCTGTAGCTCATTCCTCTCCCTTCAACTAAGCAGCTTCTGCCCTATATTTGTATTGTTTTGCTTTTTGCAGAGTTCATCTAAGTCATTACTTCATTGGGAAAACCTTCTGTGATTTTCCCGCCCTGGATGAATCTGTCACATGTTGTTATAGCACTAGTTACAATGGACATTCTCTTAACCAACTTCCAATTCACTGACCTCCCAGGTTCACCAAGATTTTTCCATCTGTCTGTGAAGCATACAGGTTGATGTTCCTGGTGGCTGAGTGCTGGTGGCCTGTCTTGAGCATTACAGCATATCTCTGCTTTTTCCTTGCTTGCTTTTCATTGGGAAGGGTCATTTGTATTTGTTTCTAAACTCATACGTCCTAGCTGTACGTTAGCACAACTTATATATTTGAATTAAATGCTATGCAAGCCACTGAAACATGGGAGCAAAAGTGTTTACATGGAAAACAAGTTGAACAATTGGAAAAGATTTAGCAAAGGTGAGGTTCCGAAACTTGCTGTCTATTTAGGAGTGAGTGAACCAATTATAAAAAAAAGTCGTAGACGAATTCTGCAGCCAGGCTTCTTTTCAAGTGTGTGGAACTTCTCCCTCTGCTTTGAAGACATGAAAACAGGAAATCATAGATGATGCATTGTAGGTGTGGTTTACATAAGAAAGATGACAAAGAAGAGGCACTGGCTCCACATCAAAGCTTCGT